AAAAAAGTACTGCTTGGATTTATGTTTGAAGAGTGTAGAGGTGATGGCCCAGGTCTGGGGGAGGTGACAGGCCCTGACCCAGAGCTATCCCAGTGACGATGGGGTGGGGGGCAACTCTGACATACGTTAAGCAGCTGGAACCCACAGAAGTTGGGCACCGTTTGAACACCAGGTGGGAGAAGGTTCTAGGCTGCTCCCCACCGGCTGACCTGGGGAGTAGGAAGTCAGTATGACTTGTATCCTTGCCATTGACCGCGGTCCACTGGGCACCCACAGAAATGACCTCCTCCAGAGCAGCAGAAAGAGCAGGGCTCTCCCCAGGATGAGCAGGCTGGGACCAGGGTCCTGAGGCTGGCAAGTCTTTGGTGGCTACTCTTTCCTGCTCTCAGCCCAAGTCATGGTCATGGTACTTAGCAGTTGCTGGTCACCACTCTTTCCCTGACATTGGCTGAAAAGTCTCAATGTCCGTGAAGCCTGCAGTCTTATCTTGGTTTGACAAATGAGAAAATGGACACTTAGAGGGCTTGGGTCCTTGCCCATGGTTTCCGAGTGAAGGGGCAGGGCCAGACTTGTCGCTCTCCAAAACCTGTGCCACTGCCTCACCTGACTGTGCTTGCCACCGTGCCAGGCAGGCTCTCCGGGGCCCTCTGGGGGAGGTGGTGTCTGCACCAGGCCCAACCTGAAGAGGACAGGCTGCTGAGCAGACAAACAGGCGCCACGTGATTTAAACCTGCAGGCCATCCAGCCCTAGACAACAGTGTGGCCTGTGGCAGGTGGAGATTTGCAGGGCCTGGCTTCCTCAGGATCCAAGACAGGAGCAGAATTGCTCCTGGGGCCTCTGAAGGTTGCTGCCAACAGCTCAGAGGTCGGGAAGTCAGCGTTCTCTTGGAAGTGGTGGCCATTGTCAGTGTTCTTATAAGAACCCTTCTTAAGATAGCAAGCGAGTTACTTTTGTGGTTAAGCAGAGAAACAAAACAGACATCCCCGGATTCCTGTAGGTTTACATTTCTGCCCTTAAGGGACACACCTACCCCATGGGATTTTTATGAAGGAAGTCTCCCCAATCCTGCAGTCCACTCCCAGACCTGAAGGAAGGAAGGAAGTTGGCAAGTGACGGATGGGCCGGGCCCATGCGATCTAGGCACACCTTTCGTCTGCTGGGATTGTTCAGATGAGCCTGTCTCTCTCCTCTTCCTCTCCCCCTTCCTGTTTAGCCTCACTGAAACTCCCGTTTTTCTCCCTCACCCCCCCAAAACCACTCCATCCTCTGAATGGCTCCACCCACTGCTTGCACTAAGGACTAAAGAATCCGCCAGCTGTGCTGAGACTCGTGCTTCAGGTCCCTCTGCACCCACCTTGATTACTTGGGATGACATTCCTGACTACAGATGTCCCAGCTGCCCCCTCAACAGCCTACGTGCCTTTCCAAAATGACCATAATCCCTTCTAAGCCCGTGCTCTCTCCCCCGGAAGAGAGGTGTCTATCATGTTCAGGGGTCACTGGGGGGTTGTAAGGGGATGGGATAGAGGAACTACTATGAGGCTTGCTGATGGCACCAGGGGTCGGGGGGGGGGGGGCAAATGACCTGCACAATCCTGAGAGCCCTCTGAGAAAGCAGAGCTCCCTGACTCCTGACGAGGGATGGGGCCCATGGCATCAGTGGCTACTCCTCCCTTACCACTGCCACAGCTCCGCACCCCCGTTTCCTCGTTAGTCAGAATAAGGCAATAATGTGCTCCTTCTGTGTCTGTGAGGACTTTATGGGAATGGCTGACAGTACTGGGTATGGGCAGCACATGACTTGGGAAGTTAGAATGTTGCTGTTGTAGAAGGGCCTGGAGGCCTGGCCGAGGGCTAGGGGGCCTTTGAAGGATTTGGGGCACAGAAGGGCGCAATCACTTTCAAGCTTCAGAAAGTTTAGTCTGGGCAGGAGGGAGAATGCATGGGAGGAGCTGAGGCAATGGTCGGAGAGGCAGAAGATGGTGGCCGGCTGGGGCAGGGGGAGAAAGGCATGGGCAGAAGGGAATGGGGAGGCTGGAGAGAGTCAGGAGCTGGATGTACTGTTAGAGGTAGTCCTGGAGTCAGGGATGACTAGTCCTTCTGGCCCATGTGACCAGGGGTCACTGAGACATGGCTTCTGAAGAGGGACAGGTTCTGCATGGTGATTAGCCTCTGCCCCCTAAACCCTCCAGAGTGGCATCCCCCTCTGCTCAGAGAGTGCTTGTCCAGCTCTCTTTGGTTCTTCCCATGTAGCTAAGGAAGTGTGAGTTTCCAAGGGTGGAGAGTGTGACACAAAGAAGCCACACTTAGAACATAATTGTAGGGTGAATGAGTCCATCTTTCAACTTTTTAAAGGGAGCCCTTTCTTATCCCCTTTCCCAGCCGTAATCCAGGGGATAAAGCAACCCGCCCTGCCACTGGGTCCCTACCTGGTTGCCTCAGCTGCCTGGCATGTGTCCTGGGCCATCCTGGCATCCATTCAGCCACAGGACCCAAGGTCAAACCCATGGTGGAATGAAGTCAGGCCAGTTTCAAAACCAAGGTCACAGAAGCCACAGTTATGGGGAGCTGACTGTGTTGGCCCAGCCCAGGGATTGCCCTACAGGATGGCCTGCCTCTCTGGCTGGAACAGGGCCCTCCCCAGTCACATGGAGCCCGGCCCCCCTCTGTCCTGACAGGCCTGGGCTCAGAGCCTTGGCCCCTTTGGGTGCCATTGGGTTGGGACCATGTCCATCTGGTCCACCATTGCATCCCCAGCACCTGGAGCAGGCCTGACATATCAGTAGCTGTACAGCCTGTGAGGGTGCTGCTCAGCCTCCCTGAGCCTTGTCTGTCCCTGTGGACAGGGTGACAAGTGCCTCCCTTGCAGTGCCTCACATCATGTTCCATGTGTCCGGTCTGCCGAGCACTCTTGGTAGATGATGGCTGGCTGATAGTGCTGCCAACAGGCACATGAGGCCCACGGGCATGTGAGCACTCGCACCTGCAGCCAAGGTCTGGGAGCCAGGGAGACAGCCGTGGTGGAGGGGGACTTGCATAGTGCCCTGTGTCAGGACACCAAAGGTCTCACTGTCCGAACCTTAAAATGCTAATGAAGTCCTGTCATGTCACATACCTATGTGACATGGTCAAGTGCATGTATGTGCCTGACACACAAGCCAGGAGTAATGTGCATGATGGGATGTGGCCTGAAAAAGCAGTGTGCACGATTGTCTTTGCACACTAGGGGGGATCGTATGTGAAAACCGCTCTTTGTGAGAATGGAATCTAGAGGGGGCAGAGGTCGGAAAACAGGCCGCATGTTTGAGTGGAGGGGCAGCACTTCGCTTTTTATTTTATTTTTTTAAATATGTTTTTATTGATTTCAGAGAGGAAGGGAGAGGGGGAAAGAGAGGCACAAACATCAATGATGAGAATTATTGATTGGCTGCCTCCTGCATGCCCCTGACTGGGGATCAAGCCCGAAATCGAGGCTTGTGCCCTCACCAGAAATTGAACTGCGATCTCCTGGATCATAGGTCGATGCTTAACCACTGAGCCACACCAGCCGGGCAGCGCTTCGATTTTTAAAGAACATGTGTGAGTGTCCTCACATTGTCAGTTCCAGCGCTCGTCATCCACCTGCCACCTCTCACACAACAGTGGAGGTAAAGGCGCCCAGCCTGGACCATGCACCAAGCAGATCTTCAGTGAATGGCCATGACCTCGGCCTTGACAGGCTTTGAGCAGCCCATAGCTAATTCTTGGCCTGGAAATCTTACCCTGAGAATCAGCACAACCTGAGCTGGATTGAGAGGATGGTTGCACAGCATTGTGAATGCACTAAATGCCACTGAATTGTATATATATTTTTTTTTATAATTGTAATTTTTTTTTAATTTTTATTGAATTTATAGGAATGACATTGGTTAATAAAATTATATAGGTTTCAAGTGTACAATTCTATAATATAGCATCTGTGTATTGTGTTGTGTGTTCACCACCCAATGAACTGTACACTTTAAAATGGTTAATTTTATATTGTGACTTTCACCTCGATTTTTAAAAAAAGAACTTCCACCCCCGCTTACTGAGGCCTGTTTTGTGCCAAGTGCCTTGCCAATGGCTTGTTTGCATCACCGCTCAGGGCAGTTCTGAGGGTGGCTCAGTGTCCTCCCAGCCTGCAGACCACCTTGCTCAAAGGGGAAGGCCAGGGCCAGGCCAGCTGTTGCCAACAGAGCCTGGATTTTCCTGCATAGGTAAAGAATGTCTCCGGGAGATTTAAGAGGAAACTGGTTGTGGTGGGTCCTCTGGGAAGTGGGGGCAGGGGAGGCAGACAAATTTACTCTCTGCTCCTTGCCACTTTGGGACGTTCTGAACCATGTGAATGATTACCAAGTCAAAAGTACTTTATTTACAACAACAAAGCAAACACTCTATATTGCCCTGCCTGTGTGGCTCAGTTGGTTGAGCATCGTCCCATGCACCAAAAGGTTGCCCATTTGATTCCCCATCAGGGCGCTTGCCCAGGTTTTAGGCTCCATCCCCAGTGGGGGGCGTGCAGGAGGCAGTCATTCGATACTTTGCTCACATCGATATTTCTCTCTCTCTCCCTCTCCCTCTTCTCTCTCTAAAATCAATAAAAGTATACTTTAAAAAAAACACACAAAACACTCTCTTGCCATGTCAAAAACAAGCACTCTGAAGCCAGCCCTGCTGGATTCATGTTCCTGTTCATCCATTCGGTACTCTGAGCCACAGTTTCACAGTGGTCACAGGACAGTGGAACTCCCAGTCCAGTGTGGCTTCTAATAAGAACTAAGTGACAAAATGGGACAATGTAGGTAATATAGTTTACACAGCGCCTGGCCCCTCTTGGGTACCAGAAAGCATCCATTGTCCTCTCTCTCCTCCCATCTCTTCCTGCCCTGCCCCCATCACCACACCCCCACACCCCACTATTTGAGTTTGTCATCTGGGACCCTGGATACCTTTGTGACTTGTGGTTTCCTTTCCTCAGAGAAAGCTACGGATGGCTCCCTGCAGAGCGAGGACTGGGCCCTCAACATGGAGATCTGCGACATCATCAACGAGACGGAAGAAGGGTAAGTTGGGGCACAGGTGAGACAGCCAGCTACAGTGCAGCATTGACCTTGCCATACCCTGCCTCCTGCCAGAGCCCCCCACCCCAGTCCCACCACTTCTGTGCTCAAAGGTAGACCCTGCTTATGACCATCGGTGCCAGAAGGGGCTGCAGAGGTCATCTGAGCCCCACCCCAGGCAGGAACATGGCATTTTGGAACCACGATCCTGTCAACCAGCCCACATAGCCTCTCAGCAGCACCCTAGCTGAGCAGGTCTTCCTAAGACGTCACCTAGGCAGCACCTTCCTAGGACAAGGCCATTTGGCAACTCAGAATGAGGAGGCGGCCCCAAGTACCTTCCTGCATTCTGTGCACTGGAACATGTGTTAGGGACGCCCAGCTTTCTCAGTGAGCAAGAGCAGACTTTCATTTCCTTCATGTGTGAAACCATCAGGGAGGGTCAGGGATCCCAGGGAGGGCAGTGAAAGTGAAGCAGAACCAAGTTAGCATTCGGGGAGCATTTTCAGTGCGTGGGCCACGGTGTCCTGCACAGTGCCAAGGAGCCTGCCAAGCTTCCACTTAGGGTGAGGGAGGCATAGCATCCTGGCTTCTGGTCTCTGACTCACCATCCCTGACCAGCTGAGGGCCTTGGGCAAGTCACTTCATCAAAGGTAAAACTCTTCATTCCTTCCAGCTGTAAGCCCAAGGCCCTGGAGGGAGCAGAGCAGAGCAGGGATGCTTCATATACTGTCCTCAGGAAAACTCCAGGAAGGGTGGGGAGGCGCGTGACTACCACCGTCTGCAGGAAGTGCAGCCAGGCCAGCCTGTGCTCTGGAAAATCAGCATCAGCAGTTGGAGCGGGATCTCGTTTCCCTCTCCATTTTTCACTGGGATGTCCAGTTGTCCCTCAAGGGGTCCTCTCAGCAGGCTGTGCTTTGTGTTAGAGGGCGGGCTGGGAGCAGGCAGTGGGTAGGAGCTCGAGCCCAATATAGGCTGTGGGCAATTGTATCACGCAGTCAAGGCCAATCAGGAGAGCTGCTGAGCACTTCCTAGTGTCCCCTGTGGTGCTCCATGGGCTTGCTGAGGAGCTAGGAGGGGACACTTGCATCTACGTCTGGGCAGATGTAGCACTGGGGACCCGGCAGTGAGCACAGCAGACGTGACTCTCACCTCACTGAGCTTATTATCTAACCTTTAGTCTCTTGTCCACTCCTCCATTGGGTTGTGGCCTCCTTGTCATCCACTTTGGGCTCCTAGCAGAGCTCTAGGCACACAGAAGGCCCACAGCAATGGCACACATGCCAGAACTTTCTGATCCCCATCTAGTCCTCACTCAGCTGAAATGCCGCCTCCTCAGAGAGGACTTCCCTGACCCCTTCCACACCTACTTGCTCTTAGCCCAGGAACAGCTCATTTCCCACTCACACCAGGCTCCCTGGAGCGTGTGATCTTTGATAGTAGGGCCATGTGGTCCTCTGCACCAGTGTGTCCCCAGCACCCAGCATGGGGCCAGCACATGTGGGTACTTACTAAGACTTGAGGGAAAGGATGGACAGTAGAGGAACTGGCAGGATGGGGCATTAGGACTCTGCCTGCAGTTACAGGGTTTAAACTTCAGTCTGCAGAAGAGGCCCCTGGGGCTTGGTAAGCACCCAGATCTCCTCAGAGTTTGGTCCAGGGGGGTTGAGAGTAGAAGTCCAGGGTTCTACATTTTTAACAAACACTCACTCCTCCCCTCTAAGGTTCTGGTGCAGGGGATCCGGGAACCACACGTTGAGAATCCCTGCTACATACTATTCAAGATCTGCCCAGAGGATTTGGGTGGGGCAGGTAGAGTGTGGTGTGATTAGAACCTGGACACACAGGACACAAGGACAGGACCCAGGGAAGGTGGTTCACGGGAGCCGTCCCGTTTCCCAGAGCCCCTGATCTCAGGCAAGCAGCCATCGTGTGGGATCAGGAGGCCCATGCCTCAGCCCGTCCTTCCTTTTGTCCCCCGCCCAGTCCCAAAGATGCCTTTCGAGCAATAAAGAAGAGAATCACGGGGAATAAGAACTTCCACGAGGTGATGCTGGCTCTCACGGTGAGTGCCCTGTCTGGCGTCTGGCCATGGGAGGTCCAAGGTCCACTGGGAATGGCCTCCTCCAGGCCCAGCAGGACTCCCAGCCACCGTGAGGCTCCTCTTCCAAGGTCTGGGAAGAAAAGGTCCATGGACAAAGCATTGTCCTGTCTACACTGCTGGCAGACAAACACACCTTTCCCCTAAGGTGGTCTCTCCAGCCTACTGGCTGGTGAGCAGGTACACTGAGGCCCCCATCCCTCCAGAACCAGCCATGGAGAGCCTGGGCCAGAGGCAGAGGGCCTGCAGGTAAACCTACACCTCTCAGGGGCAAAGAGCCTGGCAGGCCCAGTGGGTGCTGATTGGCACTTAGATGCCCTGCCTGAAAAATGAACATAAAACAAATGCCAGTAGCTGAGGACAATCCTTCCCCACAACAGGACGAGCCAGGCATGAGTGGGCATCCTGGCTGTCAGGGCGGGCTTGGCTGGAGAGCAGGACAGAGCTCTGTGCCAGCCTCCCCCACAGCAGCAGCATGTCCAGGGGAATCTGGCTACTCTGAAAAGCAAAGGCAACTCCTGCCGGAAATGAGAGCAAGGAGGAGGAGGGAAGCTCACCACCTTTTCCTTGGGCTGCAGGGTCACTACTTGATTAAAAGTTCTCTTTAGTTTCCTCCTGGAGAGCCACCTCCCCTCCAGACTGTATTTAGCTCAGAAACAGCATCAGGACAGGATTCTGTGGGCACTGAGGCCACTTTGCAAGGGGCCTGTAGCCAGTACACCGCCCTCTGCCCTCCCCATCCCCACTCCCCAGTAAACCAGCCCAGATCCCAATCCCAGCAGCAGCAGCATCCCAGCTTCTCCATGTGCCTGGGTCTCGCCACAGGAAGCCCCTTTTTCTCTCAGGCTGCCCTCTGGGACATGAGCAGCACGAGGCTGGGGGCCCTGGGTGCTCCCCTCCTCTGACAGGTGCTCATGGGCACCTCCCGGCCTCCAGGTCTTGGAAACTTGTGTCAAGAACTGTGGGCACCGCTTCCATGTGCTGGTGGCCAGCCAGGACTTCGTGGAGGGCGTGCTGGTGAGGACCATCCTGCCCAAGAACAACCCACCCACCATCGTGCACGACAAGGTGCTCAACCTCATCCAGGTGAGTGTAGGCAGGTGGGTGGGCGGGATGGGCCGGGGAGAAAGGCTGCCCCAATCTGTTTCTCGTTTGGGGCTACCCAGCTGCCTTGGCTGTCTGCTGATTGGATGTTTCAAGTGTGGGGGGACTTAACTATAGGCCTTGCTGTGGAGGGGGCTGTCAGGGTGATGGCATCAAAGGATCATCAGGTCAGGGACGAAATTGCTGTTCTCTGGGCAGTGGGTAGGTGAGCTTAAAAGGGCTTCAGTGAACAATGGTTACCAGCCATGTCCCCTTGTCCCCTCTCAGTCCTGGGCTGACGCATTCCGCAGCTCGCCTGATTTGACAGGTGTCGTCGCCGTCTACGAGGACCTGCGGAGGAAGGGTCTGGAGTTCCCAATGACCGACCTAGACATGCTGTCGCCCATCCACACGCCCCAGAGGGTGAGGAGACTCATGGGAGGAGCAGTAAATGGGGGAGGAGTGAGTAGTCACCAAAAGGGGTTTCTGCAGCTGCTTCCTGGGGCCCCTACAGGCCTCCCTGATGCAGTTGTTTGCCCTCTAGACCGTGTTCAGCTCGGAGACACCATCAGGACAGAATTCTGTGGGCACTGACGCCAGTCATCGGGGGGACCCCAGCCAGCACACAGCTTCGCTGACCACCCCAGCTGTACTCCCCAGCGACACACCCATAACGCCAACCCCTGAGCAGGTAAATGAGCCCAGGTTAGAGCCACAGGAGTCTGGGTGGAGGGCCTTGCCCTCTCACATGTCAGGGAAGACTCCCTGTCAGAATGAAAATGACTGTAGTGGAGCCTCTACTGGGTCCTCACAGCAGCCCCACAGGTGTATATTATTCTTCCTGTTTGGAAGATAAGGCTCAGAGAGAGAAATTCATTTGCCCAGAGCCACACAGGTCATCAGAGACAAAGCTGGCATTCAAGCTCAAGTCTGTTTGGCTCCAGGCAGGCTCTGTCCTGTACACCAGCCATTCTCCAAACTGTGTTCTTCATGGAGCTCCAGAGAGAGGAAGTGCCCCCAGGTGGCCCCTTACCCACAGCAGCTCCACTTTCCCTGTGTGGTTTGCTTAGGTGCTCGCATGAGATTTCATTCAAGCAGAGGTTCTGGCTAAAAACAGTTTTAAAACATCCACACAAACAGTAATTCTAAAAACCCCTTGCATTGCATCCTGCTGCTTCTCGAGAAGCCCCAGAAGCTTTGTGGCATGGTGCAAGATTCCAGGGGGTGTTCCTGGCTAGGTTTGCCCAGGGCCCTGTGAGTAGCTTTGAAAGATCACCCTCCTCAGACTGGGGGTCACATTGGCTTAGTCAGCCTGTCCCTCAGTTTCTTTCTCCTAAAACTGGAGGCGAAGTGGCCCTTCCGTTGGTCAGGGCAGCTTGTGGGGTGCTGAAGCTGCTCACCCTGCAAGGGACATACACAGCCAGACCAGCATTAGCTGGGTGCTTGGTCATCTGGCTGTGGAGTGTGGGTCAGGGCCTCACACTGTCACGGTGCTCCCTTTGTGGTGTTTTACAAACTTCAAACCTGTCATGTCAGCTAAGTGTAAGAGCTTAGCTACCAAAAGACACAGGTATATGATGGAACAGAAGTGAAACCTGACTGTCCACAGTGTGCCAGCTGGTCTCTGGGATAGTATCACCTTCGGTTTATAAACAAACTCACCGGACAGCCTTTCACACTCCAACCTGTTCAAGGAGAAACTTCTGTACTTCAATGTCTTATAAAATCACCTCCAACCCTAGCCAATTTGGCTCATTGGTTAGAGCATCGGCCCAAGGACTGAAGGGTTCCGGGTTCGATTCCAGCCAAGGACATGTACCTTGGTTGTAGGCTCGATCCCGACCCTGGTCAGGGCACATGCGAGAGGCAACCAATCTATGTGTCTCTCTCACATCGATGTTCCTATCTCTCTCTCTCTCTCCCTTCCACTATCTCTGAAAAGCATTGGAAAAAATATCCTTGAGTGGGGATTTAAAAAAAAAAAATCACCTCCCAGAGTTATAAATATTACTAGAAAAGTAGAAATGTTTTCCTAACTGGACAAATAATTAAAGGTACATAAAAACTGTAACATTTCCTGTGATCCAAAATATATCTCCTGGTTATGATTTTAAACCAGTTTGCCTGAAGTGGAGAAAACTGATTACGTCTAGTGTAGAAGGTCCCACTAAACAAAATTGGGTCATCTGTTTAATTTCAGAGTCCCTATTGTCTCCTGGGACATGTAGAGACTTTAGACACCCCGTGATGTAACTCACTGTTGTAATTGGGTCCCATCTGACTTGGACTGCTGGGTTTGTGAGCAGTAGTTTTTCCACTCACTTATACCAAGAGTGCTCATTAAAGAGGCCAAATGTATCAAACATTTTTTGGGTTTGGAAGGTGTCAGTGAACTGTGGTGTATGTACCACCTGTGACTGTGCTCCATGTCCTTGTCTGCCAAGCCTGGGCAAGGATAGGAGTGTCGTTAGGTGGTGGTCAAATTTAATTAGTATAAGTTATACGACAGGCACTTAATTGGTGGTCGGTAAAGGACAGTTGCCGTCACAGGCATCGTGAGTTTACATAGTGATCACAGATTCTGAAATCCACTAGCTCTCCCAATTTAGAATGTATGAGTGTTTCCCACGGTGTAAGCCGCTCAATACTAGACTCATGAGATGTCCATGACCAAAGGGTTCTTCAGCAAGATTAATTTTGGAACTTCCATGCTGATCCCCCCCGGCCCTCCAGTGTGCACAGTGCTCACAAGGAGACTCAGCACCTGCAGAGCCACAGCGTAGGACACCAGCTCTCTGCCACCTCACCCAAGTGAAGAGACTGCAGCTCGATTTACCATGACCCCCCCCCGAGCCAAGACCTCAGACCTTTGATCACTGAAAATCTGCTCACGTCCCTTTAACAAGTACATCTGAGTCTCATACTCAACATGCGGGTGGCACTGGGACTCATCCTCAGACAAGCCTGGGACACCAAAGTAGACCAGGAACAACAAACAGACCAGGAGCAAGGCAGAAAGCCCATCACCCTGCGGGAGGAGAGAGGGTAAAGCCCATCACCCCAGGAGGGAAGCAGGCCTGCAGACACTCCTCTGTCCTTGGGGGAACTGCCCTTTGGGGCCTCGTTAGCTGCCCTGGGGCTCAGGAGATCTGGAGCCTTCCAGCCATGCTCTGGTGCATCCATCCTCTGCTTCTTTCCTTTCGGCCTCTCCCTGTACCAGGCTTCTCAGTTCGGAGATGGTAACGGTCAGTAGAGCCTCTGTGAGGGGGGCCTGTGGGGCTGGGGCAAGCCCACCCCGGCCTGTTAGTGCAGGGCTGTGGCCTGGGGGCTGAGAGAAGGTGCTAAAGGTCAGCACCTCTGGGCACCCAGGGTTAGTGGCACCAGGCTCTGTCCCTATGAGCAGCATTGGCTTCAGACCTCTGGCCTCTCTCACTGGGGCCAACGATGTGTTTCAGATTGCAAAGCTGCGCAGCGAGCTGGAGATGGTGAGTGGAAACGTGAGGGTGATGTCGGAGATGCTGACAGAGCTGGTGCCCACCCAGGCAGAGCCTGCAGACCTGGAGCTGCTACAGGTGAGTGCGCATCTGCCCCCCACCCACATTCCTTCCCCATCCACACTACAATATCCACGCTTACTCTGAACTCCTTGGTCACCATGGGAGATGTTAAAACCAGGGCTTTGGACTCCCATCAGATTGGAATTCAGAATAGCCCCTCTGCCTCAGTTTCCTCATCTGTAAGGTTGCTCCAGCAATAGCCGTCATGGTACAAGTTTGACATGAGAGTTAAATAAGGTGTGCCTGGTTCAGAGTAAGCTCCCAATATATGGTATTGAGAAAGAGCTGCTAGGTGAGATGCCTGCCTCTCAGACTCCATGCTTACCAGGCAGGCATGAAAGAGCAGTGCCAACTTTGAGGTGAGAGAGCGGCTGGTCTCAGGAGCTGAGGCAGGTAGGAGCTATGGGTCTTCGCTCTGTGTGTCATGAGATACTCCCACAGCCCCATCTCCAGCTGGTGAGGGAGGGGCACTGGAGCAGAAGGACCTAGGTGTGGCGAGAGGCACCTTCCCCAGAGAGGTTAGTTCATAGAAGCACCAAGAAAGCTGGGGGACCCCAAGGCTCAGGAATCACCAGAACCCATGAGAAGATAGAGTGCTTGGTGTGATTGTCTCATTTTATGTCTGTCCCCCGCTAGGCCTCACACTCCTTGAGGGCAGGGCTGTGTTGTGTCTAGCCAAGCTGACCCCTGGTGTACATGCTCAGGGGTCCTCACCTTCACGGGGCAGGAGGAAAGTTGGAGGCTTGGAGTTGAAAGAACACATGAATATGAGGACTACGTGAGGGCTTATGAGAGAAGCTTGAGTGAGTTAGGAAGCAGCAGAGTTGCTATAGTGCAGTTAATTTTGTGTGTCCCAAGCCAGGGCCCCATGGGTGAGAACGATTGCTAGAGCAGGCAGGCTAGGTGACACAGGGACAGCCCACATGCATCAAGCACTTCCCACATGCCAGGCTGTAATGTGGACGTTTGGTACACATCCACTTACTTAATCTTCTCCCTCTCCCATGAGGTAGGGACTCTTATCCCCATTTTTCAGGTCAGCAAACTGAGGCAGAGAGGTTGTGTGATGTGCCTAGGATCCCATGGCTGGTAAGCATTAGAACTGGGATTTGAACCTGGGGCCTGGCTCTAACCTGCTGCTCTTGAGAAGACAAGGTAGTAGAAACAAAGCCGTAAGTGTGCTTGGTCATGGGAGGCAGAGAGGGGAGACCCACTGGATGTTGGAAGTCATGCAAAAGGCAGATAGGGAAGTCCCAGGAGAAGAAGGCCTGACCTAGGAGTGGGTGGGTAACAGGGTCCAGAAAACCAAAATCAGTACTGGGGCAACGTCTAGTTTCAATGATGCCTCCAGGAGAAAAGGGCTGGTGTGTGGCCACAGGCACTGGAGCCCGATGATCGTCTGGACATCAACACCGTGACCCAGGCATCTGTCTGCCTGGTGGCAGGTACCTGAACGAAAAAGCATTCGGTCCTACAAATGAAATACTTATAATATGTGGCTTTCAATTTTTTTCTCTTCAAACGAGTTTAAATATATAACACTTACTGATTAAAAGTCAGTCAGTGAGCTCTGGCAGGTGTGACTAAGTGGTTAAAGCACTAAAGGGTCACAGGTTTGGTTCCTAGTCAAGGGCACATACCTTGGTTGCAGGTTCCAGCCCCAGCCCCAGTTGAGGTGCGTGCAGGAGCCATCCAATTGATGTGTCTCTCACATCGATGTTTCTCTCTCTCTCTCCTTCCCCACTCCCTTCTACTCTCTAAAAAATCAATGGAAAAAATATCCTCGAGTGAGGGTTAACAATTTAAAAAACGGAGCTGGTGTGGCTCAGTTCATTGGAGCATCGTCCCGTACTCTGCGAGGTGGTGGCTCAATTCTCGGTCAGGGCACATGCCCAGGCCTCGGGGTGCGTACCGGAGGCAACAAAGTGATGTCTCTCCATCTCTCTCTCCCTCTTTCTCCTTCCGTCTCTTCCTCTCTCTCCCTTCCTCTCTGAAATCAGTAAAGAGCATATCCTCAGGCGAGGGGGGAAAGTCCGTCGGTGACACGGTGACTAAATGCAATGTGGGATCCTGGAGCAGAAAAGGGGCATAGTGGAAAAACTGGGGAAACCTGAATAAAGCCTATGGTTTAGCTGCTAGCATTGCACCAGCTTTGACAAATGCCAGACTAAGGAGAAGTTGGGTGGAGGGATACGGGAATTCTCTGTACTGCCTTGGCAACTTTTCTGTAAATCTAAAATCATTCCTAAATAAAAGTATTTAAAAAAATAAGTCAGTGAGAATCATGAGGCAAAAATTCAAAATTGGGGTTTGTGGATAATAGTTGGAGTCATCTAGTTCATTTTTTATGTTTTGGTTACAAAAAACCCCTTACACCCAGAGAAGTTGCAGTTTGTTCAGATAGCCACCTGGCAGCCTCAGTTTTTCAACTAAGCAAAGAAGGCGGCAGGAACTTCCTCCTGGAGTCTGCACGGAGCCAGGTCTACCAGCAGCACCTTTAACATTTGGTTAAATGGTAGCCTTTAACGTGTCGGTTAAATGTTAGCATTTAGCATTTGGTTGATTGTTGGCGTGGAACAGTCCGAAGTGAAATTCAAAGGCTTGCTTGTAGAACCCTGAAGCCGTTCTGTGGAGCTTGAAGTCCAGTCTGGAAACCACTTCCTTCTCCAAGGTCCCCCCAGAGGCCAGAGCCCATCCATTCAGTTGGCCTTGCTCTGGGTCCAGTGACCGTGATTGTCTTCCTTGCTTCCTTGGCAGGAGCTCAACCGGACGTGCCGAGCCATGCAGCAGCGGGTCCTGGAGCTCATCCCCCGCATCGCCAATGAGCAGCTGACGGAGGAGCTGCTCATAGTCAACGACAATCTCAACAACGTGTTCCTGCGCCATGAAAGGTAGCCCACCCCTCCCCCGGCATCTGGCCAGTTGCCCCACTCTTACCCCTCCCCTTCTACCCTGTACTCCTGGTCTCCCCACTCGGGTTGACCTTCTCTCATCTCCCTCTCAGACACCAGGCCGGCTACCCAATGTGTGAATCCTCAGCTGTCTTCTTCCAGCATGGGCATGCATGCCCGGCCTTCCACCCACCTCTCATCTCCTTGCCAGAGTTAGCCCTGCACTTGTGTCCCTGCATCCAGCCCCCGGAGAGGGCAGTGGTGGTGGCAGAGAGCCAGGGCAGGCCTGGCTCTGGGGCCTTGGACCATTTACTTGACTTAATTAGGGCTCTTTGACTGCAAGCTACACAAAGCATTTCGAGCTGACTTAAACAGAAGAAGAGCTGATTAGATGAATAGCCTCTATTAAACTCATAGCTTTTAGAATCCAATGAAGAGTGAAACAGGAAGGCCTCCCAACAGAGCAGGAACAACAAACAGGCAGATCCTAGGGCAACTCAGGGGTCTCTGGGGCAGAAACTCCTAGACCATGTCCCCAGGGCGTCACCAGCAATAAGTGGATCCAAATGCTTACTTACCTTGTATCATTCTATCTCCGAGAGAAACTCTGGCTCAGCTTTGCTGTGCCCACCAGTTGGGGAATGAGGGGGCTGCTTGATGGCAGTCCCACCAGGACCACAGGAAATGGGGGGCAGAGCAGTTCCCCAGAGAAGCACTTGGGTGCTACTACAAAAGAACAGGAGTGGTGGGCCTGCAGAAGCGACAATCCCTACACTTCTCCATATCTGTAAAACGGGGCTCACGGTGGTCCCCGCCATGGGTAAAAGAGTCCGCGCAGTGATGTCTGTAAAGCGCGGATTGGTCGGGGTGTCACCCTGGGTGCCGGTTTTTCCCGCCTCCTCCCCTCACTCATTTCATATCCTTGGCCATCAGCAGACACACTCCGAGTGATTCTAAGTCAGTTGAGAGTGGGTGGGGCTGCTATAGGCCACATCTGCTGGCCTCTCCTGCTCGTTGGCCCAGTGGAATATAAGGATCCCCTGCCTGCCATTTTGGGGTGTAGGTTGTGAGGTGGCCCAAGGACCCAATCTGGGGGTGACAAACCCCTCTGCACCCACTGTCATCAGGCCTGGCGTTTGCCTGATGGTGCTTCCCGTTCATGGTCACTCATACTCAGTGCCTGCTTGATCCTCGGCAGGTCCCGCTGTCACCCCCTCTTTAATAGACAAGGAGACTGAAGTTCAGAAGTGATGTTTACCCACAGTCACACAGTGAACACGTGACAGGGCCAGGACTTGAACAGACTCCAGACCAAGGTCTTCTTGATGTCCCTTCCCCCATGCCTGGCCTGTCTGAGGGTGGGCCAGTGGGTCAGTGCAGTGTAAGGATGTGTGTCTTTTTTGCACCACCATGGAGAGTCACTGGCACACACAGATACGCTTCCACCGCCCCTCCCCCCCAATATTCTGGATAAGTACATCACTGAGCAAGTTCCACACGACAGCCTTACCTCTGCCGTTTGCCACGAATTCCCATTTCTCCTCTAGTCTATCCCTGTCCATTTGTCTAACGCTGGTCATGACTGGAGTGACCAGATCATTGATAATACAAATTAGGACACCTTTGCAAGTGAAAGAGGCACTGTTAATAATTCCCTGGGGACATCAGGCATCACCCGGTCTGTCTGGGACAAACAAGATGTGTTGTCACCCTGACTGACCCTCTGCGTTGATGCTGAGTCCACAGTGAGCTGTGCGTGGGCTGTGCTCAGGGGCCTCTCTGAGCCTGTCTCCCTAACTCGGCTCTTTCTGTCTTGTAGGTTTGAGCGGTTCCGGACAGGCCAGACCACCAAGGTAAGCAGCTTCTTTCCTGTGCCTAGACCATGCCCTTGTTTACAGGGAGAAGGGCTTTGCTCACCTCCACCTGTCCCTCTTATACTGGACAGGACATCCATCTTATCTAGGCTCCTAGAAAGTTCCTCTTCTAACTTTTTATGCTACTGTCCCTTTAAGGCTCTGCCACCAGCTAATGCCCAAGGGTCTTCGCACCCTCCCAGAGGGAGCAGCAGAGCTAGAGGCCATGGGGAGAAAGAAAAACTCCTAAAGCATAGCTGTCAGGGCCCTGGTGACAGCTCCTCAGGCAGGCACCAGTGCTTCAAGCAAAGGGGAGTGAGGCTACGGATGGGGGATGATGGTGGCATCTCCCTTCCCCCCAGGCCCCAAGTGAGGCTGACACGGCAGCAGCTGACCTCATTGACATGGGCCCTGACCCGGCAGCCACTGGTGGCCTCTCGTCCCAGCTGGCAGGAATGAGTGAGTATGGGGCACCCCTGCAGTTCTGGGGGTGCTGTCCAGTTGGAGCTGGAGCACCAACAGCAGAACGTCAGCCTAGACTCCATTTCACGGGGTCCCAGTTTGAATCTTGCCACAAGGTTGAACATCCAGGACAAAACACGTGGGCCTCTTCCTCACAGCCCTTCACGACAGCTGAGCCCTGTCAGGTCTCAGAAGTCCCATTGTTCTGAGATTGCCCATAGACTCTAAATTCTCCTTGGCCTAAGTCACCTGGGTGAGCATGGGCAGTCACTGGAATGTCCTGTGTCCCTCTTTTCTCCTCGGTAATGGGCAGGAATGGGTCCTTCCTCACAGGCAGTCATAAGGACTGAATGAGCTCGGGCATGAACCAGGCTTGGGCCAGGCCCAGAGTGCACTCTAGGCACGTGTTAGCAATCAAATTGTTGGCATATCACTGTGATTGGTTTTAATAATACTGACTGCCTGCTTGATGCCCCACCCTAGGAAATCGTTCCGAGTGAGGAGGTGACTGTGCCCATGGTCCCTCAGCCAGCAGGTGGCCAGATCTATTCATACATCCTGCCCCGTGTCCCCCCACTCTGTGCTGCTTATCAAGAATCAGCCCTGGGCTGGGCAGGAAGCAGCTTGGCCACAGTGCATACACAGACATCTGGGCGGAATCTAACATGGCCCTTCTGTCCCCGCAGACCTGGGTTCCAGCAGTGTGAGAGCTGGCCTGCAGTCTCTGGAGACCTCTGGCCGGCTGGAAGACGAGTTTGACATGTTTGCACTGACACGGGGCAGCTCGCTGGCTGACCAACGGAAAGAGTGAGTGGCTGGCTCACCCTGAGCCCCTGCAGTTTGGGCCGCTTTCTATCAGAAGAGATTCTCTCCAGGTCTCTGAACCTGTTAGTTGGTGGGCACACCCTGTCAAAAAGCGCACAGCCCCCTGCTTGTCCCCCTCAGGATGGCAGAGTTCCTTCCCCCTAAGTCAGTCCTGCATGATGCAGAGCCTTGGGCCAGGTGGCAGACTGAGTACCCCACAGGCAGAGCTGGATGGGAAGGACCACCTATAGGTTGATGACCAGCCGTGTGCCAGAATCATATAATCCGATCAAGTGAGGAAACCGAGGCATCATGAGGCTGCGTCACTTGCCTCAGGTCAGGCAGCTAATTGGCTTCCTATGTTGGGAACCCAGGTCTGTCTGGTTCGAGAACAGTGTCTCCAACCCGACTTGGGTCCCCACTGCACTATACACAGTGCACCAAGCCCTCTGGGGCAGGCAGGAGGTTCCTGATAATACCTCAGGGGCTTGTCCAGTCATTTCTGTCATTCCACAGTCCCTATCACCCCACTCAGGTCTGCCCATTCAGCACGAGAGCTGGGGTCCTGTCCTTTCATGGGAACTGTCCATTTCCAGGGAGGCGCTTTCAGCAGTCAGGGCACATGGCCAGCCCCTTGCCTCAGCTTCCCATGATGGATTCCGTTTAGGCGTGTCAGGGAAGCGGTGTGCTGAGGCTAGTCATCAGTCCCATGCTTATAACCCCAAGTCAGAGCTGAGCTAGCCAGAACAGAGAGTTGAGGAAAGCTCTGGATTAGTGGACCCCTTAGCTCCCTAGTGGTCATTCTGGTGTCTTTGGAAACTGCCTATGGGCCTCCAAAAGGCCGAGAGCTACCCTCTCCACACTGGCAAATTCAGGTGTGGCCTGCCTGGGCCCATGGGTTGCCCACAGTCCTGCCCACTGACCATACCCAGCTCTGGGAAAAGGAGAGCTCATGAGCCACGAGCCACATCATTATTCAGGCAGAATCTATAGTCTCAGGCCTAGGTGCTCTGGGACCAGTGGCTCACGGTTGCCATGGAGTTAGAGGTACTGTGAGGCTGCTGCACAGACAGAAGCTAATGAGTCCAGTGGAACTTAACAGCCAGGAGGGTGGTTTGCCCCAGTAGGCCCCAGCAGGCAGCACAGTGGCCATGCCAGAGAGCCCCTGGCCCAGCTCGCCAGCCTGGCTGAGGTTTGCTGTTACTGGAGTGAGGCCCTGAGGGACAGAGAAAAGCACACCAGAGCATCCTCTCCAAGGCCTGCAGTCTCAGGAAGAGATGTGCACACAGACCACTGCCATGCAGCGCGAAGTGCTGTCCTGGAGGGGTGCGCCAGGTACTGCAGCCTGGACAGCAGAGTGGGGGGGCCAAGATGGCCATTTCAGGTCGTGGGAAGAGCATGTGCAGAGGCTCAAAGCCAGGAGAGAGCATGAGACACCAGGGGTAGGGCAGGTGGTCTAAAACAGCATCATGTACCTTCTCAGGTCCTGGGTTCTCCTGCAGGCCCCAGGATTGGTTTCCTCCACAGCAGAAAGTGCCCTGTAGGGGACAGGAATGTGCCCTAGCTTAGAGTTCCTCTTTCCTTTGTTCTCCTGCCTGGCTCCCTCCCTTCTGCTCCAGCTGGGTCTTTAACCCTGGTCACCTGCTTGCCTTTGGGCTCCTCACCTTGCCCTTCCCCTGGGATTCTTGAATCCTCCTCCCAGGCCTGTTCTTTCTACCTGGTAGCTGGCCCACGCCTCCCTCCAAACTGTGCTGGCTCTGCCTCCGCTTGCTGGGAAGCCAGCACTTTGTCAGCCCTTCTGTTTCTGTTCCAGCCTCTCACCTGACCAGGCCCTTCCACTCGGGGCACCAAGGAGAGCGGTGGGGCATCTGGGCAAGCCAGGTCAGCGGCACCTTAGCCAGGCTTTGCCAGAAGCAGGGAGGCTCTTCCTCCACTTCTTCCACATCATTGTTCTGGGGACACAGTCCACTTGCTCCCCATGCTGCTGTGTCACCCTAAGTGGCCCCAGGTCCAGCCCCTGGCCAGCAGCCTCACCGGGGACCATCTGAGGAGCAGCCCCGCCTCCTGCGCTGGCCATGGGACCACACCTGGCCCAGGTCTGCAGCCTGTCTGGCCCGTGAGGTTGTCCTCCAGCAGGTATGCTAGGCCCTCCACTGCTACAGGAATGGCCCCTAGGGATGGCCGAGGGGTGTGTGTGTGTGAGAGGGAGAGGGAGAGGGAGAGGGAGGTGATGGGAGTAGTTAGGATGGAACAACAGTTCTTTGGAGAGAAGGGAAGCTTTGGTTTCTGTGTGTTCCTAGGGCCAGACGTGCCTTATTCTGCTTTGTCCTCGAGGCACCTGCCTGTCTTAGGCACGGGGACAGCAGCATGATTCCTCTGCACCCTGAGTGAGCAGCTTCCCTGGGCCAGGATGCATTGCGCAATCTTTGGCATCACTTACTCCTCACCTCCGCTGGAAGCCCAGATTTAGCCAGGGGCACTAAGGGCGTGAGCACACCACCCGCCACCCCAACTCTCACCTTGGCTCCAGCAAGGCCCGCAGATGGTCCCCAGCCCCCTTGCTGTGAACGAGAGCTGTGCAGCCGGGGGATGCACTGGCTGTTGACCGCGCTGCTTTGGCTGACTGCCGTCCTGTGGGAGGCAGTGGACAGCAGTGTTCTTCAGATTGGCTACATGGGAATTTGAGGAGCTTATTCAAGAGGCCCCTTTAAGTACCAGCCTGCCCCATTCCCAGGAGAGTGAATGGGCATTGCAGGAGTTCAACGAAACAGGGTTCCAATTCCCAAAGCCTGGGGCTGGTACAGCCCTGACTTCTGCAGAGTGTGGGTGCTCCCCTGTCCCACACCCTGCCCACACCTGGAGGAAGATCCCTCATCCCTCCCTGTGTAGGGATTTCCCTTTGCACCTGGGACTCAGGCTCACTTCTTTGCCTCAGTGCTGGACAGACCCAGTGCTGAGGTCTCACCTCCTCTCTGCTGGTGGTTCAGAGCGAGAACAGGGGTTCTTTTGAAGCATCAGGGCTGCCTCCCCTGGATATCATCCCCTCTGCAGCAGTCAGGGGAGACACCCAAGCCCCCTCCATAGCCTAGGTTTTTCCTCCTACTCTTGGTTTATTCTCTTACTCCCCCTGAGACTTCACCTCAAACCCACCAAATACCTCCTTCCCTGCCCTCCTCTCCCTGGGAGCTGTAGTGCCAGCCCCTGTCCCTCCCCCAGCCACTGCCCGGCTGGCTGGCATCCCCAGAGGATGGTTAGAAACACCCTCCACCTGCTGCCAGACTGGAGGGCTGGGGGAAGGGGCGTTCATGGAGAGCCAGCACCAGAAGGCACCTCTTGGTGGCAGAGGGGAATCCCCCCCATTCAAACACAGCCTTACACAGAACCACTACTTGTAAAATTATCAAATGGGAGCTGCTCAAAAAGGGTCTGGAGATAGGGAATTCTCCATGAGCATGGGGTCATTGGCCCTATTCCTCAGCCCTGGAATTGGGCCAAATCTGGTGACAGCCATTGGTGATCTTGTTCTGTCATTACCCAGCAACACCCACCCTCCCCCAGCCACGCCGCCTGCCATGCAATCATACCCCTGGTTCCAGTTCCCAGGGCAGGAAGTGGGGTCCTTTCCACCACCCCAGGCAGGCCTGCAGGTCGAAACCCTTCCTTGAGCCAGCCCTGCCCAGGCCCAACCCAGGTCTACACCGAATGTGAGTCCAGCTCATCCCTGCCCATCCCCTTCCATCGTCACATCAGCTAGCACACCTGGCGCAGCAAGGGCAGCACCTAATGGCCATGGTGGCCCCTGTGTTTCAGGGTAAAATACGAAGACCCCCAAGCTACGGATGGCCTAGCTGGAGCCCTGGACGCCCGGCAGCAGAGCACAGGAGTGGTGAGCAGAGGGCCCAGAAGGAAGCAGGGAGTGCTTGCCCCCTGGGTCCCCCATGTGCCGGGCACTGGCATGGCCTGCCCTCCACCCTCTCCTCCTGTGCTGCTCCTATTGGCCCTTTGTAGCCAGTGTGAGTACATATTCCCATTTCACAGCTGAGAAGACTTAGGGGTAAAGTCATCTGCCCAGGTTCACACAGCGATGAGGGTTAGAACAAAGGCTCAGACCTGAGTGAGATGGCGCTGGAGTCTAGCAGCCTGGGTCCCCACCCTCACCAGCTGTGTGCTTAGGCAGGTGACTACCCTTCCTGGCCCTCCCTTTCTTCCTGTGTGCTGAAGCTTACTGTTGTGCCCACATGGTTTATAATCGGATGCATGAGGGTGTGTATTTAAGGTGCTTGGCACAGACTGAGAGCTCAGTCAGAACTCTGCCTCAGAGCCTCTTTAGAGACCTGTTACTTGCAGAAGTGTGGGCAGAAAGGGACCAGAGAACAAGAGCTGCAGCGCCAGCCATGCCCCTCACAGCCTTGCATTTCCTCCTAGCTCCCTGCCTGCCTTCCCACCCTACAGCCCCAGGGAGCCACCCCGGGCATTTTTTTTTTTTAAATATGTCTTTATTGATTTCAGAGAAAGGGAGAGGGAGAGAGGGAGAAACATCAATGATGAGAGAGTCATTGATCAGCTGTCTCCTGCATGCCCCCTACTGGGGAGCGAGCCTGCAACCCGGGCATATGCCCTGACCAGGAATCAAACCAGGATCTCCTGGATCATAGGTCATTGCTCAGCCGCTGAGCCATGCTGGCTGGGCTGGGCATCCTCTTAGTTCCATTTAATTGCTGGCTATGTGTTGAATGACAGTCAGGGCCAGCACTGAGCATACTCTTTGGGTGACCCCACTCCTTGGCCACAACTCCAAGCACACTTCTCATACCTTTGAGTGTGTTTCTGGGCACCATCCAGACACAGAGAATTCTGCCCCAGTAAGTGGACAGAGTTGTTCCTTGGGAGGTGGTTGGAAACTGCAGGACCCGGGGGTTGGAGGGGCAGGAGCAGTGACGTGACCAGCAGAGGAGAGGGTTGGTGACACGGGGTTTCTGAGGCTGGGGTGGGGCTGGCTAGTAGGAGACAAAGCCTGAGCAGCAGCAGGGACCAAAGATCTTCAGGGCACCTGGGAGGACTGTGGGTTTATTCTGCATGAGGAGGAAGCTGTGGACGGTCTTGAGCAGAGGGGGACATCCACCTGACTTCCATTTTAGAAGGACCGAGTGGAAGCTGGGAGAGCAGTGAGGAGGCTGTGAAAGCCTCCCAGGCCATGGGATGTGGGGGGGAGGTAGAGTCCCGGCTAATTCCCAGAGACATACCAGCATCTCAGGAGGCATTCCCAAGTCAGGACAGGGCAAGACCTGGAGCACTGGAGGCAGAGCCAGCGGGGTAATCAGGTGCCCCCTGTGTGCATTGTTACCTGTCACCCCCAGAGCCTCCCTTCATTTTTCTTTGTAAGCAGTTCATCGAGCCTGCACTCTGTGCCAAGCTTTCTACATCCCCCTTACCAACTCACCACACAGACCTTTAAGGTTTGTTGTTAATTCTTTTCACCCAAGAGAAAACAGTCCCAGAGAGAGGTTAAGTGATACCACAGCTGTAACATCCTTCGCATGGCCCTGGCCCAGAGTGAAGGATTTCATCTTAGTACTGCTGTGTGGTTTTTCATTTAGGAGAACACCAGGGTTCAGAAGTAGGATGTAGCTTGCCCTGGGTCACACACCTGTTGGTCTGTCTAACTCCGAAGCCAGTGCTGGTAACAAGGACCCCAGAGGGCCTGTGAAACTCCAAGGAGCAGAGAACGCGCCCCTGCTCAGCCCTCCATTTCCAAGGCCCGTCATTCTGGCTCTAGGAATCCAAATGAATCCGGACTCTCTGGAAGCCGGCCAGAAGCACTTCCTCTCGAGCCACCTGGCCTCTCATGGGCAGGGACTGACTCCACAGCCCAGCGGGCAGCAATCCCAGCCAACTCTTCCTGTTCCAGATGAGGGAGCTGCAGCCCAGAGACAGGTGTCACCTGCCCAGGGGCACACAGCAAACATGGGGGCACCCCAAGAACTAGAACCCAGGCCTCCTACTCCTGTACCACCTCACAGCCGCGGGGAGAAAAGACACACAAAAACTGATAAATGATAGCTCGTTCATCTCCGATAATTTGAGAGATTTGAGCCACTTCCACCAGATCTGAGTATGACTTGCTTAAAACCATGTCAGTAAGCCCCTGCTCCAAGGTGCTTGAGTCTCGCAGGTGGTAAGGCTTTCACTGAACAGTCAGAACGTGATTCCAGGCAGCCAGGTACAGAATGGAATCCAGGGCCAGCTCTGTGGCAGCCAGTGTCTGCCCCTTGTGCACACGCCCTGTGACGTGTGGAGGTGTTTGCCAGGCTCCATATGGAGTCTGCCCAGGGTGGGGAGGCAGGACTCTTGTCTCCCTCGCCCACCAATCTTCTCTGGGGCACAAGGAACCTCTTGTTTGCATCAGTAAACATGAGGGGACTGAGTAAGCCAATGTTAAGCCTGAGATGCCCGTCAGAATCCTCTGAAAGCCAGCTGGCTAGTGGCTCCCTACTCAGCCATCCTGGGATTGCCCAGGCCCACCCTCCAGGTTCTTTGTGGAAAGCATGGAGAAGCATTGCCAGCCCATTCAGGGTTCTGGGGGCCCAGGGCTGTGTGGTTCACCCCACAGTGAGGCACCCTCTGCTGCTTCCTATCCTCTTTTACCTGCTCCTACACCCACCACATGCCTGCGTGAGCACGCACGCACATGCACACACACACACACAGGCCTAAGGTGGTAGCAGATGTCCCCGCCTGCAGGGAGCATCCCTGTTGGAGAAGGCTGCCAGGCCACCAGTGTCCCTGGGCCTGTCCTTCCCACCTCCCTCAGCATGACCCTTTCTCACCAGATGGGAGGTGGCAGTGAGAAGAGCCTCAGTGACTGGATGGTGAGACAAGGCATGGTGAGGAGGGCCACCTGGAGAGCTGGGGCTGTCACTTGCAGGGCTCCCACGTGTGTTATTGTTAGAGGGAGTCAGACCGTTAGACCCGGAGGAGAGCGAGGGGCACCAGGATTTCCTGGGCAGCCAAGGGCCTGCTGGGCCGAGCCCAGTAGTCCATATGGTCCTGCTCCCTCCAGTCCTGCTTCGCAGCCTCTTGGTGCCCACTTCTGGCTCCTGACTCAGAAGCAAGGCCCAGGCATCCCCTCTGGCAGCTGGGAGGTGACCGGGCTCACCTAGTTCTGAGCAGAGTCCCAGCAGAGAGCTGATTGGGAGAAGGAGCTGGTGTGGGCAGCCCAGAGCACAGGCTGCTGCTGCTGGGGCCGCTGGGAAAGCGGCTCCTCCTTTTCTGGGCTTCCTGCTACCCACTCGGGGCCTCAGGTGCTGGAGACAGAGCGTGGGGATCGAATTGTCTTGGTCGGAGACTCACTCTCCCCCTTTCCCAAAGTAGCTAACTGGCCGCTGGCGTTTCTTGAGCATCTGCTCTGCCAGGCCCTGTGCTAAGCTCTTTGCAGCCATCTCATTCAGTCCTCACAGCAAACCGGACGCTAGGTACTGTTGTTACCCACTGTGAAGATAACCGAAGTGAAGTTCAGAGAAGTGAAGTAACCTGCCCAAAATCATGCTGTTTTATGGGCCTGGGCCACACTGCAGTGTCTGACTCCAGATTCTGTCCGGAACTTCCAGTCGGATTCTTCCACTGAGGAAGCGTTCAGAGAAGGAAGCCCACGCCCCAGCCCAGCCTGCAGCCCCTGTGCGGAGCCTTTGTGGCAGAGCCGAAGTGAAATGTCCCTGTGCACAGCCTCAGCCCCTCTCAGTCCCCAGCCTAGCCTTTTCAGGTCATCTCGCACTTCACTCCGGCCTTTCCACCGTGAACTGAGTCTGGATGTGCAGGGAGACAACCCGACAGCCCCTTGTCGTGTCCCCACCCCAACCCTGATGGCTGGCCCCTTCCCTGGGTGCCATGCCTTCTCCTGCCAAATGCCCCTGAGCACCTGTGCGCAGCTCCTCGCTGGGCCTATGCAGAAGCCCTCCCCCTGCAGGCTGAGCCCCACCCACATCCTTGGTGTCTGAACACTTGTCCATTTTCTCCTGGCCTTGTTCCAGCTCCCTGGAGCCCACTCCTTGGCCCCCGTTTAGCCACTGGCCCTGCATCCCCCTTGCCACAGCCTGGCACCGTGGGCAGAATTGTGCGTCCAAGGCAGCTGGGCAGGAGCTGTCTTGGAGGGGATGCCAGAATGGGGCGGGACAGGTCTGACCCCATTTCATAAGTGAAGAGGCTCAGGTGTGTGTGACTGCCCCGGCCACCTAGCTGGTGGGGCTTGTGCCTTGTGGCACCTCCCTGCCTCACTCTCCTCCCTGCCTTCCAGATCCCCATCACCCAGGCCTGCCTCATGGAGGACATTGAGCAGTGGCTGTCCACTGACGTGGTAAGTCAGGGCCCGCCCAGCCCAGAAGCAAAGGCTCGGACCCACTCCTTGCCCACCTTGCCCACGGAGCTCCTGTTTTTTCATGAAGTGGCTGGTCATGGGGGTGGGGAAACAGCGAGTGGGTGACAAGGGGAGCATTACTATGGGACACCTCAGCAGCTGGAAGTATCTCCTGCCAGCTGCCTGCCACATCCTAGGCACTTCCCGTTAGAGAAGGGCCTGTGAGGTCCCCAAGGGTGCCACTGAGGGCAGCCAAGGAGCCATGACAGCGCTGAGCTCTGCACCTGCAGAGGCTCAGGGAGACCTCGGCCACTCAGCCCATATCAGGAGACTGATAAGCAGCCGAGGGGTGCAGTGTTTAGGAGGAGGTGGGCAGGGGCCAAGAGCAAAGTGCCTGGGCACTTCCAGGCCCAGGGGCTGCCTCTGCAAGCCTCCAAGACCGTGTTGCTACCCGAGGTCAGGGGAGGGTCCATCGTTCTGTCCTGTGGCAGAGGCTTCCCCCTCCCCAGCTCCCGACCTGAGCATACCTGGCCTGTCTCCTGCCATGGGGGTGAGTCTGTCCACCCCTCTGGACACTGGAAGGAAAGGAAGTAGCATTCATTGAGGCCCCGCTGGCACCACGCCTTGTGCTCAGTACTCCGCCTGTAGTTTTCCCTCTTAGCTTTCCGACAGCCCTGTGACTTTCACCAAGCAGAACACCCAGGCTCGGAGAAGCCTTGTGACACCCAAGTCCAGTGACTGAGGAGGAGGTTCCGGTCCTTGGCCCGCAGCTTGCGCCTGGATCACTATTTCAGCAACCAGAGCCCTGCCACGCCCAGCCCCGTTCCACCTCACCTTGCCCAGCTAACCTCTGCCTTCTGCTTTCTCAGGGGAACAGTGTGGAGGAGCCCAAGGGTGTCACCAGTGAAGGTAAGAGGCCCTGGCCCTGCCCACCCACCCACAT